TCCCGACACCCCCCGTGCATCACAGCGAGCACACCTGGGTTCGGTTCCAGACACCCCCCGTGCATCACAGCGAGCACACCTGGGTTCGGTTCCCGACACCCCCCGTGCATCACAGCGAGCACACCTGGGTTCGGTTCCCGACACCCCCCGTGCATCACAGCGAGCACACCTGGGTTCGGTTCCCGACACCCCCCGTGCATCACAGCGAGCACACCTGGGTTCGGTTCCCGACACCCCCCGTGCATCACAGCGAGCACACCTGGGTTCGGTTCCCGACACCCCCCGTGCATCACAGCGAGCACACCTGGGTTCGGTTCCCGACACCCCCCGTGCATCACAGCGAGCACACCTGGGTTCGGTTCCCGACACCCCCCGTGCATCACAGCGAGCACACCTGGGTTCGGTTCCCGACACCCCCCGTGCATCACAGCGAGCACACCTGGGTTCGGTTCCCGACACCCCCCGTGCATCACAGCGAGCACACCTGGGTTCGGTTCCCGACACCCCCCGTGCATCACAGCGAGCACACCTGGGTTCGGTTCCCGACACCCCCCGTGCATCACAGCGAGCACACCTGGGTTCGGTTCCCGACACCCCCCGTGCATCACAGCGAGCACACCTGGGTTCGGTTCCCGACACCCCCCGTGCATCACAGCGAGCACACCTGGGTTCGGTTCCCGACACCCCCCGTGCATCACAGCGAGCACACCTGGGTTCGGTTCCCGACACCCCCCGTGCATCACAGCGAGCACACCTGGGTTCGGTTCCCGACACCCCCCGTGCATCACAGCGAGCACACCTGGGTTCGGTTCCCGACACCCCCCGTGCATCACAGCGAGCACACCTGGGTTCGGTTCCCGACACCCCCCGTGCATCACAGCGAGCACACCTGGGTTCGGTTCCCGACACCCCCCGTGCATCACAGCGAGCACACCTGGGTTCGGTTCCCGACACCCCCCGTGCATCACAGCGAGCACACCTGGGTTCGGTTCCCGACACCCCCCGTGCATCACAGCGAGCACACCTGGGTTCGGTTCCCGACACCCCCCGTGCATCACAGCGAGCACACCTGGGTTCGGTTCCCGACACCCCCCGTGCATCACAGCGAGCACACCTGGGTTCGGTTCCCGACACCTCCCGTGCATCACAGCGAGCACCCCTGGGTTCGGTTCCCGACACCCCCCGTGCATCACAGCGAGCACACCTGGGTTCGGTTCCCGACACCCCCCGTGCATCGCAAGCGAGCACACCTGGGTTCGGTTCCCGACACCCCCCGTGCATCACAGCGAGCACACCTGGGTTCGGTTCCCGACACCCCCCGTGCATCACAGCGAGCATACCTGGGTTCGGTTCCCGACACCCCCCGTGCATCACAGCGAGCACCCCTGGGTTCGGTTCCCGACACCCCCCGTGCATCACAGCGAGCACACCTTGGTTCGGTTCCCGACACCCCACGTGCATCACAGCGAGCATACCTGGGTTCGGTTCCCGACACCCCCCGTGCATCACAGCGAGCACACCTGGGTTCGGTTCCCGACACCTCCCGTGCATCACAGCGAGCACACCAGGGTTCGGTTCCCGACACCCCCCGTGCATCACAGCGAGCACACCTGGGTTCGGTTCCCGACACCCCCCGTGCATCACAGCGAGCACACCAGGGTTCGGTTCCCGACACCCCCCGTGCATCACAGCGAGCACACCTGGGTTCGGTTCCCGACACCCCCCCGTGCATCACAGCGAGCACACCTGGGTTCGGTTCCCGACACCCCCCGTGCATCACAGCGAGCACACCAGGGTTCGGTTCCCGACACCCCCCGTGCATCACAGCGAGCACACCTGGGTTCGGTTCCCGACACCCCCCCGTGCATCACAGCGAGCACACCTGGGTTCGGTTCCCGACACCCCCCGTGCATCACAGCGAGCACACCTGGGTTCGGTTCCCGACACCCCCCCGTGCATCACAGCGAGCACACCTGGGTTCGGTTCCCGACACCCCCCGTGCATCACAGCGAGCACACCAGGGTTCGGTTCCCGACACCCCCCGTGCATCACAGCGAACACACCTGGGTTCGGTTCCCGACACCCCCCCGTGCATCACAGCGAGCACACCTGGGTTCGGTTCCCGACACCCCCCGTGCTTCATATCGAGCACACCTGGGTTCGGTTCCCGACCGGGCTCCTGTGCGCGTGGAGCGTGCTGCAAGTTGTCTCTCCCCACTACCCCCCCCCGTGGGTAGATTCAAGTCTCAAATGAGTATGCGGTGCGGGTTGTGTGAACGTCGGCACTGGGGAGACAAAGGCGGCCGCGCGTGGTGCTCAGTCACACGCGCGCACCAATCACTCTCGCGTGCGCCGTGACAACACCGTTCACAGCGGTGCTGGCCGACGGCACTTGCCCCGACAGCCCGTGCAGGCTACACAGCCGAGGGAGGAACTTTGTCTTTGTCTTGCCCAACGCGCTCCACGCGTGACGCGCGCGCGAGTGCATCGCCGACACCTGGACCGTGCATATCCTAGGTCGACTCAGCCTAGAATAAGTGTAACTACGTCGTGAACAAACACGAGCAGCGGGGAGAGACAAAGGCGAGTGGGCGTACGTGGCTCTGAGCACACTCCCCGCCTCCCACCTCATTAGTGCGGTGATGTCAGTGAAGAGTTCACTGAGCGATTGCCAGAGAGAGGAGATTAGTTGTAAACAAACTAAAATATAAACCCATCATCATGTATGCGCTGTATGTGGAACTTCTTTCGCACCGTACGTAGCCAATCGTGCTAATCGGAGGTTGCTGGCGGGGGGACAGCAAGGAACACACCAAAAATATCGTCAACATCGTCGTCAGTAATAATTAGGGGTTTTCCCATTTTTTTCTGGCAACAAAACTGAAACCTTCTTACAAGGATTCATGTCTGCATTAGCCACAATACCTGCAGTCAAAAATGCAAACAAAAAAACATACTATGATAATATATGATGCATTGTCCTTGAAACTGATTGGTCCACACCAAGGGACGGCTTTCTTTTGAGCCTCGACCCAATTGGTGCTCGACCAGATGACGCCAAAAGGTTTCAGTTTTGCTGCCAGAAAAAAAGGGGAAAAACCCTATTGTTATATTTTGGTGCTGGCAAAGGAGGTCAAATGATCGTCGTCAGTGTCCGAAGCTCCGGTATCCGACACCATTGTGATAATTGCTGTTGTTAGTCTCAGGTGCGTGCGTGCGTGGTGTTGTCTGTGTTGTTTGAAACCTGAGGGTCTGCGCTTTTACAGCGCTCATACACCAGATGCCCACCGCTGTTTCTCCACGCTCTGTGAGTAAGTGCGGGGGGGGGGGGGTGGTGATTTGACCATACTTCACCACCACGCTGATCACCTGCTGGGTTGGTGAAGGAGCGAGGGTTCGGAGCGCGCGGCGCAGCACCAGCTGAGATGCGAATCGCCACTGACGTTAGCCGTGGCTGGGAATGGAACTCAGGTGTGCGAGGGCCCAGTGTGTACTGTCTGCTCGTCCGATCGCCGGGAAAGCGTCCCAAGGTTTATTTGTGTTGCTGCTTCGACTTTAATCAGCGCGCGTTTCACAATCGCAGCCGCCATCCCTCCTCTCCCCATCCACCCCCCACTCCACCCTGTAGACAGAGCAACTACAAACGGGTGGTTGTTTATTCAACGTTTGTTTGTGTCATGCCCTCCTGTGTTTGACCAAAACGTGATCGAGCAACGCGGGCAGTCAACGGATGATAAAAGACGCTCTGGAACGTACCACCCCCCCCCACCTTTCGGTTTCAACAAAGTTGATCATAATCGTCACGTCAAGTCGCTGCACACGACCGCCGCTCTCTGCTCACGTAGAGAGAGAGTGAGAGTACGACTCAGAGACGTACACACTCCACCGTGCAACTCACCACTGATGGCTCCTTCCTTATCTCTTTCTTTCCCTAGCATAATCACCCTCTCATCATCATCCCTCTCTCATATTCATATTCTCACCATCATCACCATCAACCCCATCATCATCACCCTCTCATCTTCAACATCTTCTCACCATCATTCCTCTCTCGTCATCATCACCCTCTCATCATCATCACCCCCCTCTCATCATCATCATCATCATCACCAACCTCTCATCATCACCATCACTCTCTCATCATCACCATCACTCTCTCATCATCACCATCACTCTCTCATCATCACCATCACCCTCTCATCATCATCACCCCCCTCTCATCATCATCATCACCAACCTCTCATCATCACCATCACCCTCTCATTATCACCATCATCACCTTCTTATCATCATCACCATCACTCTCTCATCATCACCATCATCATCACCCTCTCAACATCATCACCAACCTCTCATCATCACCATCACCCTCTCATCACCATCATCATCTTCTTATCATCATCACCATCACTCTCTCATCATCACCATCACCCTATGATTATCACCATCATCATCATCATAACCTTCTCATCATCACCATCACTCTCTCATCATCACCATCATCATCACCCTCTCATCATCATCACCCTCTCATCATCATCACCAACCTCTCATCATCACCATCACCCTCTCATTATCACCATCATCATCTTCTTATCATCATCACCATCACTCTCTCATCATCACCATCACCCTATGATTATCACCATCATCATCACCTTCTTATCATCATCACCATCACTCTCTCATCATCACCATCACCCTCTCATCATCACCACCACCACCATCACCTTCCTTCTCCCTCCCTCTCCTCGTTCTCCGTCTTGATGGGAACTTGCGCCCCGGGCCTCCTTCCCCTCTCCCGTTCCTTTCTCTCTCTCCGCGTTCATCGACAAACATCCTTCACTCTGCTCGCCCTCCCCGTGGTGGCAGTCACGGCTGCAAAGGATTTTAATTGCAAATCAAATCAATCAGATCAATCAGACCGCGCCAATTCTCGTCGCTGCACCGCGTGTGGCGCACGAGTCATCAGACACAAACGACACGTCATTTTGCGGTGATTCAAGGGTCAAATAAAAACTCCAACTTTATTATTTCTGTTTAGTTGTTTTTAGGGGTTGATTAATAACACTGAACTTCTAGTGGGACCGGTAAATTAGTAGCAGCGGTGGAAGTCGGTGTACGCACGCAACGTATGCGTGTAGGCGGCGTGTTCGTGTGCACCTAGCCTGGCACGAGCGCCGTGATCATGTTGTTATTGTTGGGTGCGTGTGTGATTGAGTGTGTGTCGGGAGCGGGGGGGGGGGTGATACAAGCCAGGCCGACCCGAGTTCGATTCCCACTTACGGCAACGACACCGCTCACGATTATCTGAGTCGCTCCTGCGCCTCACTCCTTGCCTGTCTGTCTGAATGTTCCTCCATCTGTGTATCGATCCCTATATTCGTTTGTCCGTCCACCAGTCTGTCTATGTGTCTGTCCATCTGTCTGATCATTCGACTGTCTGTCTGTCCATCCATCCATCAATCCATCCATCCATCTATCCATCTGTTTGTCTATCCATCTCTCCATCTATTCATCCGTCTTTAGATCCATCTATCGTCCACGAGTCTCTCCATCCAACTATCCAACTATCCTATCAATCCGCCTATACATGCATCTATCCATCCATAAAGTTGTCCATACAACTGCCTATCTATACATCCACCTGCCCATCTATCCATGCATATGTCTGACTGTCCATGAGTCTCTCCGTCCGTCTGTGCTCCAGCAGACAAGTCTCATAACACTGAACGGTGACACTGCGAGTGTGACACTGTAAGTCAACACCGCCACCGCCACCACCACCACCAAAGATACCATACAAAGATCCCCCATATAACATTAACATATTGTTTGGTGCAAGTGCTGTTAACGAGTAGCACCGATGCAGGCCGGCTCGGCAACACGAGCACACGGTGTGGCCAGCACCACGCCTTTGTCTGCCTAGTGGCGGTGTTTCCACACCGCGCCAGGTGCGCACTCATTTAAGGCTGAGTCGACGTAGGGGAGGCCCAGGACCCGGGCTCACCACCAGGTTCGGGCGGACGCGCGCGACGCGTGGCGACTGCGCGATGCGCCGCCGATGGCGACGTGCGAACGACGCAATGCTCCGATCCACGAATTACGAAGGAGACGTCAACAGCGTTAGACGCTCCGGTTACCTGGGCTTGACCACCTGAAATGTGAAATTGTAGTCGTTGTTCTGCATCTACACCAGCCGCACGAAAGAAAGAATGAAGGAAGGAGGAGAAGACTCCCGATGGCATCGTTCCGACTCCCATCGGTTCAAGAAGCCGTGGAGCAATCTCGCTCGCTCTGTGTGTGTGCGTGGGGTGGGGCGGGGGCTCTGGAGTAGCCGTGGACTCCGTGAAGGACCTCGCCAGGGCTACAGACCGGGCCACATCATCACGAGCCATGGTCTATCCACAGCTAGCCACATCGTCGTCGTCGTCATCACCGTTGTCGTCACTGTCGTCGCCACGTGCCCGGCACTGGATGCCCTGTGTCTGTCTGTCGAACTTTGTTTCGACTGTGACGCCATTGTGACACGAGGAGGAGGAGGAGGAGGAGGAAGAGGACAAGGAGGAGATTTCGCGGTTGTTGTATGGAGGCCTCAACGAGTCCCACGACTTGCTTACAGGGAGGGTCCTGCCGAGGTCTGGCACAGTCGAGGGACGACGATCGGTCGGGTGGATTCTTAATTTGTGGTGAACATTTGGCAAAATACACTGCGGCCTGGCTCTTCGACGTACACGATGACTACTAGAAACCCCTCCCCCAGCCCTTCCCGTACCCCCCCCCCCTCATTCATTCTCTGAGTGACAGCCAATTGCTACAAAAACCGACGAGCAAACAGAAAGTGAAAAGGGGGGCAGAGTTGTCTAAGGGGAGTTAGGGGTATAGCGTGTGCCTGTTTGGTTCATCTGGTTAGTGTGGTCATGGTTAGCGGTAAGGTTGGTGACTGGTTGGTTAGTGTGGTTAGTGTGTTAAAGGTTAGCGGGTAGGGCTATTTCCTGATTGGTCAGTGTGGGTAGGGTTGGGGAGTATGGCTAGTGCCTGGTTGGTCATTGTGGTTAGGCTTAGGGGCAGGGCTAGTGCCTGATTGGTCATTGTGGTTATGTCAGGGGTATGGCTCGTGCCTGATTGGTGATTGTGGTTAGGGGTAGGGCTAATATCTGATTGGTCATTGTGGTTAAGGGTAGGGATAGTGTCTGATTGGCTAGCGTGTTGAGGGGCTTGGATTTGATTGGCTAGTCCGTTCCACCTTCTGCACAAATTTTCTCCTCCCGCGTTGGCAAGTGCGGCCTATTCCGTTCTCAGTCGCTTAGCGCTTGTGGTGGCACTGCAGCGTCACAACGTCACAGCATCACAACACCACAACGTCGTCACAGCGTCACGACGCCACAGCGTCACAACGTCACAGCATCACAACGTCACGTCATAACGTCACAGCGTCACAACGTCGTCACAGCGTCACAACGCCACACCGTCGCAAAGCCACAGCGCCACAACATCGGAGCGAAGAGGAGCGAGGAGGATGATGACCGAGAAGGAGTAGGTGGAGCCGAGGCCCACCTCTCAGGCTTTGTGGTACGTGCGAGTGGCCACCACGTCCCCGATGGAGCACGTCTACGGGGAGAGGGGGAGACACGCAACTCACTCCCACCTCACTCATCTCACTCTCCCACACTCTCATCTCTCTCTTATCCCTCTCCGTCGCATGAAAAACTATTTCTTCAGAAGTGCTTTATGTGTTTAGTTATTCTTCGCCCGCATCTCCGATTAGCGTTGTTGGCTACGTACGGAGTTCAACATAATACATACTAATTTCTCCCATCACTCTCTCATCTCTATCTCAGCCCTGTCTCTCATCCGAGAAGGCCTTCGATAGAGTGACCCCTGAGTACCTGGGTAAACTGATAACGTCGTTCGGCTTCAGCCAGGCATTCATCTCTCACGTTAGGCTCCCGTACACGGACACATCCAGTCTCATGAAACTCAACCAGCCGCTCAGCCCCCCTTTTCCCATGACGAGGGGGGTCAGACAGGGATGCCCTCTCTCGGGGCTGCTGTAAACCCCGTCTATTGAGCCACTCCTACGCCACCTGAGACAACGTCCGTCTGGTTTCAAGGCTCCAGGACCTGAAACTGCAGTCGTCCAGGGTCTCTGCGTACGTGGACGACGAATGCGTCGTAGTCAACGGCGCGCAGGACGTCTCCGCACTCTGCCGAGTGGTGGCGGTGTACGAGAAGGCCTCCGCCGCCAGGGTGAACTGGGCCAAGTGCGAGGTTCCCTGTTTGGGGTCGCGGTGCGGCGTGCCTTCTGTGCTCCTCCCAGGAGGAGTCAGTTGGCAGGCTGACGGTGCCAAGTTCCCGGGAGTCTACCTGGGGAAACCCACACGACGTCGCTCTGAACAACTGGACCGAGTTGGCCAAAGTAATCGAGGCTCAACTGCTGGCATGGGCACGCCTCACTCCGCAGATGTCCTCTAGGGGCCGAGTGCTCGTCGCTAATAATCTGGCAGCGTTCGTGCTGTGGCACAAGACGAAGGTCCTCCAGTGTCTGGCCTGGCTACTCACCAGAGTGAACCGCTCACTCGCGCACTTTGTGTGGCACGGCAAGCACTGGCTAAGGCCGGGGGTTCTCTGCCTGCTGGTGGGTGAGGGTGACCAAGGGTCTGGTGGACGTTGCCTCCAGGCTGATGAGCTTCAGGCTTCTGGCCGTGAGGCGGCTACTGTATGAACGGGAGGAGATACCCTGGAAGTCGTCGGCCCTCAGCCTGCTGAGAGACGCAGGGGGGAGCCTGGGGTACGGGAGCGAGCTTTTCCTGTTTGACCTGGGCCTGGGCGACTACACGAGGCTGCCAGGTTATTACCAGAGCCTTTTTGACGCGTGACGGAGCTTTGGATGGAGCAAGGCGTGCACGCACTATGACCTAAAAACATTTCTTGAACGAGCCCCCGTTCTGCAACGGCCTCTTCGAAGGGATCAGAGGAAAGAGGACTCTGGCTGTACGCTTCACCGCAGTAGGACTGGGGGAAGTCAGCAACCTCGTGAAGGGCCACCGGTGCAAGTGGAAGACCTCAGCTGAGATCGCCAGCACTGAGGGACTCCGCTCCAAGCTCGCTGGGGAGAAGCTGCTGTGGGACATTGCGCCGAGCCACGTAGGAGCTGCGTCTGATGCTGGAGGCGCCGGAGGACAGTGGCGGCCACCCCCTTCCTCCTTCCCGGAGTTGCGCCTCCTCTCCTGCATTCAGCCTCCTGGGCGCACTGACTCTGGGAAGCTACTGAAGCTTCGAGGACGCAGGGACGCGTCCCTGAAGAGCACCCCAAGGAAAGCGCTCTGCGCCGTGCTGCATCAAGGCATTGCATGTTCAGGACCTGGCTAATCTATCAGGCACAAAATAGAGAGATAATTTATCTCCCCTTATTGAGGTTGCCCCCCCCCCCCCAGTGGAAACCAACATTCAAGCCTCCTGTAGCCAAACGCTGCGGTGACCTACAGTGGAGGTAGGCGCACTGGACGGTGCCATCGCCCGTTTGGCTCAGCCGATCTCCCCAGGGGCACCAGACTGTGTGTGCGTTCTGCAGTGCCCCACCAGTAATTGGGGTGTCCGTGGCTCAACCAACCCAATGTTCCAGCTTTTGGGGTCCATTTTTATGAGACTGGAGGTGCCTTTTTACAAGAGCAGTTTCATATACGGAGTGCCTTACCTGGCTGATAAGCGCCACGATCCTGAAAATATTTGTCTGCGCGCAAGCAAAGATGGCACAGTTTACAAGACCAGGAAAAAGATGCTGCAAGGCGACACTGACAGCTGCTCTGCGGTGCCAATGCCGGTGACGCGCTTGTGTTCTTCCAACGGCGGGGGGCCGGTCAAGCCCTCTGTACCGGCGCAAATGACATTCTGCTATCGTCGAGCGTGGCGTGTTTGTGTTGCGCGTGGTGCGTGCAGCGCCACGTGCCGTGGGTAGTGTTTTGTGACGTGATGTTGTATCCCTCTATCCCATCTCTCTCTCATCTCTCTCTCATCTCTCTCATCTCTCTCTCTCTCTCGGGCCCTCACCGCCACCATGCTGTCCCCCGAGACGGCACGGGAGATGGTGGTCTCCTTGCCCTCCCACCGCTGCACCTGCACCAGCTTGTCGCCCTCCACGGTGAACGTGCTCTGCGGGAGACACCACCACGTCATCCACCACGTCATCCACCACGTCATCCACCACGTCATCCACCACGTCAACCACCACGTCATCCACCACGTCATCCTCCACGTCATCCACCACGTCAACCACTACAACCACCTGTCACTATGTCAGCCACCACAACCACAGTCACCACAGCGTCACAACTACAACCAACAGCCCATCAACTGACTGCGCAAAAAGCGTTGAGGCTTTGGTGCTCATCTTCCCGTTTGCAGCTCAGAGCCGGTTGTGGAAATTCCTCGTTCCTTTGACGGGGAGAGGGGTGGGGAAGGGGGGTGGGGAGGGGTGGGGAAGGCGGGGGTGCGGAGGGGAGGGGTGGGGGGTGCGGAGGGGTGCGGAGGGGTGCGGAGGGGAGGGGTGGGGGGTGGGGAGGGGAGCGGAGGGGAGGGGTGGGGAGGGGAGGGGGGGTGGGGAGGGGTGGGGGAGGGGAGGGGTGGGGAGGGCGGTGGGGAGGGGAGGGGTGGGGAGGGGGGTCGATCTATTGGACAACCATTGCTGACGTCCCACAAAGTGGTACTGATCTTATCTGCCACGGCAGGGAATGATGATGATGGTTGTACCGAGTCAAACCGGCAACCAGGATTTGACCTCGTGACCTTTCCATTCGCGAGCCGCTCGTTCCACCACCGCTTCATTGCCTGTGACCTCTGACCCCCCCACCTTCCGCCCTCCCCCCACCCGGGGTCTCACCTTGACCTTCCTCTCGTCCGCCGTCGTTTCGTCAAACTCCTCGCCCAGCGTGAACTTCCACTCCATGTTCTTGAAGGTGCTCGTGGTCTTCAGCGTCACGTGGTCGCCCTCGGCGCTGATGATGAGCGTGGGCTTGGTGACGCTGCCGATCTGGCGCATCGCGAAGCCGATGCCTGCACGGGGGCCCAAAGCGCGTCCGTGATGGCATCGCAGTCAAGTCATTCCTCGTTGAACGTCGTAGATGCGTTCCTCGAAAAGCGCCACGTTAAGCGGAAGACTGTTTCCCCATAAAGAGCGCGGTAACGATCAAGTTTGGCGTTATACGATTTACGCACACACACACACACTGTGTGCGATGGCAGGACAAGTCACTGAGGGTGCGCCGCCGCGGGAAGTAGTTCGTCATCGACCGCTCACAAACCGCGTTATAACGGGGAGCGCGTTCCGCATTGTGCCAAAAGAGTTCCCATTATTAAAGAACTGCGTTTGAGCGAAAACGCGTTCGAGTGTGAACACCTTGAGTGGAGGGTCGACTTCCCGTAGTCTAAAGTATTTTAACTCACGTCATCATCAATATTATCGTCAGTCATCATCGTCATCATCAGCCAAGTTCAATCCACTGCTGGATGAGAGGCTACTTCGAAACGCTTCGCCATCTATGTGGGGTATCTTTGTCTTTAACGGGTGTGACACGACGCACCGGCTAGTAATTAATAATTATCATTAATAATTCTAAACCAGGGTGGCCCAAAAGTGAGGACACAGGGATATTTAATTTATTTTAACACATGCCATGAATGCATTACAAATGTTTTTTTTATTTCTTGAAGTTAATATTTTCATAAATCTATCAGTTTTATTAATATATCTTTTCTTCTTCTTCCTCCTCCTCCTCGTATGCTAACCAACGCAGCTGTAATCTTACTTAAAAAAAAAACACATCTCAAATTAATTTGAAAAGATAATCCACGCATCCATTTATGATAATGGAAGCCAATTTGAACATTTGTTAACAATAATGAAATAACCCTCCGTGAATTGTTCAAATATCCTTCGGTTTTTGCCTCCACGTTTAGAAACATGCATTGCGAGTTATTTGGCTGCTAATACATTTCCACGTGATAAGCCACTGCGTTGAGCTCTCGTTTGTGGCCAGGTCACTCATGGGAAAAATAGCTACGCAGATCAGAGGGCCTTACCTGGTAACATAAAAAATAGTCAGGAGTAATAAATAATAAGCCCAATGTATCGTGACTGTTGGGCCACCCTGTGACATTGCACGAGCTCAGCCGGGACTGGGCGTGCTCTCACCCACCATGAGTCGCGTCCTCATTTTCAGCACCACGGAGCTGTTCACAGCCTCAGATGACTCACGTGACCTGCACGGTCTCACAAGTCTCACGCCCTCACAGTCTCAGTCTCACGCTCCCACAGTCTCACGCTCCCTGCACGGGCTCACAAGTCTCACGCTCCCTGCACGGTCTCACAAGTCTCACGCTCTCTGCACGGCTTAACAGTCTCACGCCCTCACAGTCTCAGTCTCACGCTCCCTGCACGGTGTCTCAGTCTCACGCTCCCTGCACGGTGTCTCAGTCTCACGCTCCCTGCACGGTCTCACAAGTCTCACGCCCTCACAGTCTCAGTCTCACGCTCCCACAGTCTCACGCCCTCACTGTCTCTCAGTCTCACGCGCTCACCTATGGCCTTCATGTATTCATCAAAATTGTGGCTCTCCACCAAGTTCCAGGTCCCGCAGAAGATGTCCATGATGCTGTCCCCGCTGTCTCTCTGTCTCTCTCTCTCTCTGGTGTCTCTGTGTCTTCGTGGGCGTCTCTCTGCGTTGCGTCGCTGCGTCGGTGATGGTGCTGACGGAATGCTGCTGCTGCTGCTGCTTCTTGCCCGCTGCAGACTCTCCGCTCTCGCTGAACGCTGACGCGTCGGGTGGCGTGAGACGCAGTGGGGGGGGGGGGGGGGAGGGGGGGCGCAGGAGAGGGAGGAGGGAGACTGGGAGGGACCATGGGGGAGGGAGACAGCGGGGGCAAGGAGACTGGGAATGGATGAGGAGGAGAGGGTGGGATGGAGGAGGAGGAGGAGGGGAGATGAGGGGTGAACGGGAGCCATTGGGTACAGAGCTGCGCTTATCTGGGTCACCCGACGTGCACGTGACTCTGGATTTGGCTGAGAACGCGTGGCCGATAGTAACCCCTCTGCGTGGACGGGAGGGGTGGGGGGGGGGAACAGTACCCCCCGCCCCACAGCCTTCCATCCTTGCTCCCCCATAATCCATAATTCTCCCCCGCCTCGCTCCCGCAATTTGCAAAAAAAAAAAACTGCCGATGCAATCAATGGGCGCACTGCGACAAAGCCGCCGCTGCGATTGAGCGTCCGGGGGAAGAAAGGGCGCAGCTGTTGCGGAATCTGGCAGCAGGAAGGAAGCGACGGCCGCGAAGTGTACGCTGGCCCCAGACGCATTGGCGGCGAGGGGGTCATTCGAGCGAGATGGGTCGCACACAGAAACGCGGCGCGCGAATTCGGGAGGGATGGAGGTGCAAAGTGTAGCGCAATCTTCACTTTTATAGGCCGAGTAGACCTAGGAGAGGTCCAGACCGTGGCGATCTTTTTAGCACGGTGAGATGTTGGCACCTGGTCGCTTACTCGCCGCGACAGCGACGTCTGCGCGGTGATCCACCAACCCTTGCCGCAGCCTCCGCAGCGCTGGGTCACAGTCAGCAGCAGCAGCAGCCCAGGCGAATTCGCCACCGCCGCGATCCTGTGAAGCGTGCGGCGCATCTCAATAGGCAAACCGTTCACGTGAATAGACGATACAGGGTCGTGTGAATAGATTCAGACGCTTCATTAATAACTGGTCACGAGCAACTCCGGTGAGCACGGTTTGCTACCTACGCACGGTGCGAAAGAAGTTCAATATTGCACACGTACATACGAAAATACATTTGTGTAAGTGTATCTGTTTTTTTTTTAAACATCAGGCCCCATGGCGATAACGAGTGGAGTCTCCAACTCTTACTCTGTGGTCCTTTCGGTAAAGTCACGTAGGTATAAAATAAAATAAATCACGACGTTTCGGGCACAACACAAGTGTCCGTCATCAGGTGGGGAAAGCCGTCGTGATTTATTTTATTTTTCTACCTACGTGACTTTACCGAAATAACCAAAGAGTATGGATTGCTGCAGTCACGAAAGCTTCAAATCAAGATTCTCCAACTCTTGCTATCCACTCTATCTCTCCGGCTTTGTATGTGCTCCGAACAAGGGCCATTGCCCGAAACGTCGCCGATTCAATATATCGTTATTACTCCTTCAATGCCGCGGTGCTGTCGACTGATGCGTCGAGCCCTTTTGTGTCGCCTGTCCTTTATGCGCGAATGGCTTCGCACAGATCATCGTTCATCGTTCATCCGTCCGTGGCCGACGACCCCCAGGGCCCCCAGCGCCACTCCATCTCTCTCGAGCGGAACACCACGTGGAGGGGGTAGTGAACACCACGTGGGGGACGTGAACACCACGTGGGGGGGTGACGTGAACACCACGTGGGGGGGGACGTGAACACCACGTGGGGGGGGGGGGGGGACGGGAACACAACGTGGGGGACGTGAACACCACGTGGGGGGGTGACGTGAACACCACGTGGGGGACGTGAACACCACGTGGGGGACGTGAACACCACGTGGGGGCCGTGAACACCACGTGGGGGGGGGGGGACGTGAACACCACGTGGGGGGGGGGGGACGTGAACACCACGTGGGGGGGGGGGTGACGTGAACACCACGTGGGGGGGGGGGGGTGAACACCACGTGGGGGACGTGAACACCACGTGGGGGGGGGGCGTGAACACCACGTGGGGGACGTGAACACCACGTGGGGGGGGACGTGAACACCACGTGGGGGGGGACGTGAACACCCTCCACCTCCATCGCCAGTTCCTGAAGAACCGCGTTGTGGTCCTCGTGATCAACCATTGGGCACTTGTACTCCACTGATGAGTCCCAACGAAGGCGGAGCCGGCCGACAGTCCGTCTATGTCCGAGCCACCGCAAACGGCGGCCGTGTCGTATTTTGATGAAATCTAACGGCGACGTCGGCTGTGTAACAACGGGGCAGCACGACGTGGTTCTTGAGCAACTTGTTGATGATGTTGTTGTTTTGTGTGTTGTGTGTGTTGTGTGCACAACGCGCACAGGCGGAGCGCTGTGTACACGCGCTGAGTTGCGTGTTGTGTGAAGCTCGCCTTGACTTGGGTGTCCCCGTGGTGAGATGTTAACCACCTCGCCTGGCATGCAGGAGGTTGTGGATTCGATCCTGACGCTGACGCCTGCTGCTCTATATTTGGGGTTTGCGCGTCTCTCTGTCTCTCTCTCTCTCTGTCTCTCTCTCTCCCCGTGGTCGCGTGGATTCTTCTCCGGGTCCTCCGGGTTTTTCCCTCGAAATGTTGAATGAACATCACGCGTTTAAAGTATTTGGCTGCTATGATTTTGCGCGTGATAAGCCACTTCGTTGAACTATCATTTGTGGCGGAAAAAAAGAGCTTCATAGCTCAGTGGGGCCGACCTGGTTAAAAAAAATAAAATGTTAGATATTAAAATGGAATAGAAATCGATTTCTGGATCGCCATCGTCAGCCCGGGCCATCGAATCGCCGCTTACAAAGAAACGAATCCTGGAAAGGAACACAAAACGGAGAAAAAAATGTCTCAAAAGACTGCTTGCGAAGTTGATTCCACCTCCCCTCACCCCCTCCTCTCTCATTTCCTTTCACTCCTCCCCTCCCACACGTCTGGCTTCTCTTCTCTATTCAGCCTCTCTCACTCGCTCCTTTCTCTTGAACCCACCGGCCCCCGCCACCGACCCACCCTCTCGCTCTCTCTCTCTCTCCCCTCTCTCTTCCCAGCGATCTGTGCACAATAGCGCATTCAGTGAGCAGTCAGGGCCGCCTTTGTCTCCACGGCGCGTGGGCCAAGTGGTGGGAACCAGCGTCTCCTTCGTGTCTGACGATGGCGTGGTCATAACGCGTGCAGCATGGCGATGCACGTTTGTTACATCAACACACACAAGTAGCGGATACACGAGTTCGATTCACGATCACGGCTGCCATCAGTGGCGGGTGCTAATATCTGAACCCTCAACCTCCACCACCATTAATTGACCAGAATGGTGAAGTATGGTCAAGCAAACGCCTACGACCGACACCTCGTGGAAAGGTCTGTTTAAAATAAAATCATTTTTGCCTCGAGTTTGCTTGCTGGCTGCCTGCTGGCTGGGCTCCTGTCTACCCCAACAACAACGCTGTTGTTAGTGGCTGCTGCGGGGTTGTTGACAAATAAGCTAGCTGGGTAACTGGCTACAAGGGAGATTCCGTGTGACAAATAAATATTGAGTTGAGTTGAAAAGGCGGAAGAAGACGTTATAATAATACTGTAATAATAATAATAACACGATAATACTGCAATAATAATAATAGTGACACCGAAGAGGTGAGAGTAATGAATGTAGAACGCTGACCAAGAATAGTTTAAAATCGCGATAACTTCCCAATGTGTGCTCCGATTGATGTCATTCGGTAGCCATTTAACAGCCTAAACACAAATATTGATTTTAAACTCACGATAAATATTGTCTTGGAGTTTTATTATGAATTTATATAATGACATTTTACAAACCTATCAGACTCCTCTAAGCGTTCCGAGCACACGCGGCTGGCGAGAAGAGGATTGCGTCACAGCTGTCTCTCAGTCACACTTGCAGAGAGAACCACGACAATACTAGTACAACGATAATACAACAACAATACTAATACAACAACAATACTAATACAACAATACTAATATAACAACGATACTAGTATAACGATAATACAACAACAATACTAATACAACAATAATACAACAACAATACTAATACAACAATAATACACCAGCAATAATTATACAACAACAATACTAATACAATCATACAGCAACAATACTAATACAACAATCATACAACAATATTTATACAACAACAATACTACAACAATAATACAACAATACTAATACAACAATGATACAACAACAATACTAATACAACAATACTTATACAACAATACTAATATAACAACAATACTAGTATAACGATAATACAACAACAATACTAATACAACAATACTAATACAACAACAATACTAATACAACAATAATACAACAACACTAATTATACAACAACAATACTAATACAACAATCATACAGCAACAATACTAATACAACAATCATACAACAATACTTATGCAACAACAATACTAATACAACAACAATACTAATACAACAATCATACAACAATACTAATACAACAACACTAATACAACAATAACACAACAATACATATACAACAACAATACAAATACAACAATCATACTACAACAATAATACAACAACAATACTTATACAACAACAATACTAATACAACAATAATACAACAACAATACCAGTACAACGATAATACAACAACAATACTAATACAACAATAATACAACAACAATACTAATACAACAATAATACAACAATACTTATACAACAATACTAGTACAACGATAATACAACAACAATATTAATACAACAATCATACAGCAACAATACTAATACAACAATAATACAACAACAATACTAATACAACAATCATACAGCAACAATACTAATACAACAATAATACAACAACAATACTTATACAACAACAATTACTAATACAACAATAATACAACAACAATACTAATACAACACTCATACAGCAACAATACTAATACAACAATACTAATACAACAATAATACAACAATACTTATACAACAACAATACTAATACAACAATCATACTACAACAATAATACAACAACAATACTAATACAACAACAATACTAATATAACAACAATACTAGTATAACGATAATACAACAATACTAATACAACAATAATACAACAAC